CTTCTCTGCCGCTCACTGCACAGAACAGACGCCGAGAGAGGTGACACTTCTCCGGGAAAGTCCGAGCTCGCGCTCGCGGGACAGCACTGGCGAAATCTTACAACTGAACCATAGCTAAGGTTTATTCAAAAAAGTCGCTAGGTTTGTCAGTATGTATATTTTATGGAAAAAAGCCGCTAAAAGGGTCTGAAAGTTGCTAAATCTAGTGCTAAAGTCGCGCCCGTGTGTGTGTGTGTGAGATGCAGGAGCTGATGGCAGGGGGCGGTGGATATTTGTGGCGGTCAATGTGGATATTGTGGATGAGTTCTTCTGTGTCATCATGTTCTATTAGTTCTACAGCTTCAGTTTCTGAACTTTCACGCTTAGTAACACATACAGCTGTGCGCTCACCACAGTGCAACAGTGAAAAGGGACTTCTTTCAAACAGTGTCGCGTTCCGAACGTTGTTTAAGCGACATACACCGGTATTGCGGTATTTTAAAAATTCATATCATAACAAAAATAAACACCGGTATTCGGTATGAACCGGTATACCGCCCAGCACTACTTTATACCCATCTTTTTTTCACTGCATATTCTGTATCTCCAGTGCTCTCGGTTTCTTTCCTGTCGTCTCATGTTCTCCTCTTCCTCCCATCAGAAGGAGTTCAGCGGCTCATCCCCGAAGAGGAGGCGCGCCGAGGAGAAGGATGAAGGGATTGGATCTCCAGACATTCTGGAGGAGGAGAAGGTGGAGGATCTTCGGCGCGAGATGATTGAACTCCGACAACAGCTGGATAAAGAGCGCTCTGTTCGCATGATGCTGGAAGAACAGGTATATTTGGGACCGTGTCAGTATTGGCCAATGTTAGCGGTTTAAGTTATCACCATAAGTGTGAATTTGGGGATATGACAATTCGTTAATCTGTATTTATTTTATTACTCAAACTTTATTTTCTCTCTGTTGGGTGACAAAAGTACCAAATAGTTTATGAAAAAACAATTATCAACAGTCAATATCAGCCAATTTTTGTTGTTTTTGTTGTTGTTTAATGAATAGATTTCTCTGTTTAATGATTTATTATATTGGCCATCATAATAGTTAAAAATATAAAAATCAATATCAGCCATATATGAAAATTAGTGCGGTCAAACGATTAATCGCATCCAAAATAAAAGTTTTTGTTTACATAATATGTGTGTGTGTACGGTGTATATTTATTATGTGTATATATAAATACACACACATGCATGTATATATTTATAGTTACGTTTATATATTAAATATATTTATATATGATATCATTTATATGAATATGAATATATACACATGTAAAAACATTATATATGCTGTATGTGTGTCTTTATATATACATAATACATATACATAGTACACACACATGTTAACAACTTTTATTTTGGATGCGATTAATCATTTGACAGCACTAATAAAAATCTATATTTTATTGACTATGTTATACTTGTAACCATATATGTGTGTCTGTGTGTATATATATATATATATATATATATATATATATATATATATATATATACACATTTATTATATATTAAAAATTATCTGTAATTGGCCTATATGGTTGTTGATAATTATTGATATTTAGTAATTTAAGAAATGTATAAAATGATATACATGTATAGAGGGAGAGAGCATTATATTTAAATAAGCATTATTTATTTTAAAATAAAAATACAGATACAATTTTACACACACACACTCATATATATATATATATATATATATAAGTATTAATGTGTTTGTAAAGGATATGCTCAAAATTGTGGTATTGTAGTGCTAAATTAATTGATTGTAGATTGTAAACACCGTTTTAGCTTAATTTGTACCTCATTACAGTGAGTTCTCACTCATAATTCATTTTTTGTTATCGTTATTTGACAAATTTTCATAAATCTTAACGAAACCTCATCAGGATCTGTTTGATCCTTCGCTCAGTTTTGCTCGACTAAATCTCGCCTATCTGTATTCATCACGGACTAGTGCTGAAGAGTTGTCATCTGTAAAAATCCGTTATCCAACTTTTCTTTTGCTGCATCACTTTGCTTGCTAAAATTGGCTCGCTTTAGTCTTTGCATATTTAATGAGATATCACAGAAGGTGCACAGCTCCCCAGAGAGCTTGAATCGTTTCCGAACATCGCACTTGAAGTGCAAATTAAACCCCAATCTCTGCTGCTATTCATGAAACGTGCTAGAGAAACTTCCTCAGGCCAAAAAAAAAAAAGTGTTAAGAGGAAACACTGCTCTCCGTTCTCTTCTGCATGTGTGCTGACCGAGGGTCTCTCTGTTTCTTTTAGATCCGCTCATTGGATGCCCACTTGTACCCAGAGAAGCTTAAGGTGATCGCTCAGCAGCTCCAGGAGCAGCACGTGCAGACACAAACTCTGCTTCATCTTCAACAGCAGCAACAAGAACAGCTGGGCAAAGAGACCACCACACCTGCTCGCAGCCCGCTGGTCAGACAGGCTCTCGGTTTCACTGATATACTAACCGTGATTGAAATACTCAGGATGGTCTACTTGAGGTTTTGCAGTGCAGTTTGGATGTGTTGATCCACTAGAGGGCATTAGAAGAGTTAAAGACAACCTCAAATGTCATAAACCATTTAACTTATTTAATGTGACCGATTTCTGAGTAACAATATTCAGATAATGTAGGGCAGGACTTCATTTAACCTATGAATATTTGATTTGTGTAATATCACCTTTTGATGTCTTTTTATATTGTTTTACAAGCCGTTTTAGCAGCGGAGAACATGATTATATTATTACAATTTGATGAAAGATTATACACCACTATTACTCTACTATAAAAGTTTGGGGTCCGTAAGATTTTTTTTGAAGGATATTAACTTTTATTCAGCAAGGGTGTATTAGATTGGTCAAAAGTGACCGCAAAAACATTTAGAATGTTGCAAAATACTTCAATATTTCAAATAAAAGCAGTTCTTTTGAACTTTCTATTCATTCTATTCATGGTTCCACAAAAATATTAAGCATCCCACCTTTTTTTTTTTACATTTATGGTAATAATAAATGTTTTTTGAGCAGCAAATCAGCATATTAGAATGATTTCTGAAGGATCATGTGACACTGGAGTAATGATGCTGAAAATTCAGCTTTGCATCACAGGAATAAATTACAATTTAAAATATTCTTATAGAAAACAGTTGAGAGAGTTTTTTAAAATTGCAATCATATTTCATAAAATAACTTTATTGTATTTTTAAATTAATTTAATGCAGCGTTGGAGAGCTTTTTCCAAAAACATAAAAATCTTACCAACCCCAAACTTTTGAACGGTAGTGTAACTTTTTTTCTTTTGAGTAATGTGCACTGTTGAATCATGCACAATAAGACCATATACATAAAGAAAGTAACTATATGCGTAAATAAAGTGTCAGTTCTGATTTCTTGTTGACTTTCTTCATGGAATAGTTTGTAATTTATTGTAACCCTCTGTCCTGCTGTGTTCCTCAGGTGTTTTCTCCTGCCACGCCACCTGCGCCCACTCATCACGCCACAGTAATTGTTCCCGCCCCTGCGCTGCCGCCCCCTCCCCCCCATCATGTCACTGTGGTAACCATGGGCCCCACCTCCGTGATCAACACAGCATCCACATCACGACAGAACTTGGACACCATTGTGCAGGTGAAACACATTTCTGCCCAGCTCAAGGAGAAAGTCCTGAATGAGATTTAACTGCCGGATTCCCATTGTAGTGATGGTGTGTCTCAGTGGATATATGTGACCCTGGAGCACAAAACCAGTCTTAAGTCGCTGGGGTATATTTGTAGCAATAGCCAAAAATACATTGTATGAGTCAAAATTATAGATTTTTCTTTTATGCCAAAAATCATTAGGATATTAAGTAAAGATCATGTTCCATGAAGATATTTTGTAAATTTCCTACTGTAAATATATCAAAATAGAATTTTTGATTAGTAATATGCATTGCTAAGAACTTCATTTGGACAACTCTAAAGGTCGATTTTCTCAGTATTTTGATTTTTTTTGCACCCTCAGATTCCAGATGTTCAAATAGTTGTATCTCGGCCAAATATTGTCCTATCCTTACAAACCATACATCAACGCTTATTTATTCAGCTTTCAGATGATGTATAAATCTCAATTTCAGAAAATTGACCCTTATGACTGGTTTTGTGGTCCAGGGTCACATATGTATGTGTTAAAGTCGTTTTCACACTTGAAGTTTTGGTGTGGACACTAAAGAACTGTACCTGAATCCATTAGCAAGAATGAATGTGGAGAGTAGATTACTATTTCTAAAATTACTATTGTTATTGTTTACAGTCATATTCACGTATAATCATCCAAGTGAATGCTGCACACTGGTGGGGGTTGAGGAGAGACCCCCCCCCCCCCATGATTGTAAAGCGCTTTGGGTGTATAGCAATACACAAGAAAGCGCTATATAAATGCATCATTCATTCATTCAAATTATTTTTTAAATCAGAAAAATCACAGATTTTTTTCCCCATCAAATCCTGCAGCCGAGTTGTTCCTTAGCTATATTGGTAAACAGTTGTCGCTAGTATTCATGACTAATTATCAACTATTTTTGACATATCAACTGGTTGGCTGTCTGAACAACTAATTGACTTCAGTGATACCAAAATTAAAAAAGCACAGAGTGCTGTAGTAATGATTGAAATGAAAATTAGCATCACCCTGGTTCCCTCGACAAAAACCTTTTTCCATTGGCTTTTGGAGAATGGCAAAAAATAATAGCTTTAAAAAATCACATCGAAATGGGTATTGCAGATGTAATTTATGTCATGGAATAAAACATGAAAATATCTTGAGCTCATGTTAACCACAGACCTTATCCCAGGCATTTAACCAAAAACCCATTCAAAAAAACCATTGACTTCAGGACGATGGATCCGGAAGTGTTAAAATGCTCATTTCCGGGTCTTGGCATGCAACAATATGTCGTCCCTGCAGCACGATTACACCATATGCAGCTCCACACCTCAACTTGTCTTTTGTTTGGAGATTTGTAGACCATCCTGACCCATTTTAGTTCAGAACAAGCAACTGTAAAACCAGTTGTTTTGGAAAATAAAGCATAGAATTTGGATCTTGAAACAAGTCACCTGACATTTTCTTCCGGTTTTCCTGCAGGCCATCCAGCACATCGAAGGCACGCAGGACAGGATGGTCGTGCCCGAGGAGGAAAAGCGGCGGGCGGTCATCGTCACCCCGGGCCGTGTCCTCACAGACACCGGCGACTCCGACACCGCCTCTGACAACGAAGGATCTGAGGACTGTTAACTGCCCCGGTCACCCCCGCCCCCATATCAACCCACCACATGTAACGGGGGGCACGGAGAGGGGGCGAGGGGGCTGTGGGGAAGGGCCTCCCACAGAAATATTCTTTCTTTCTCTCTCCTCTCTTTTTGTTGCTGTCTTCTTCACACTCGCATACGGGACTCACAGACTCAATGACTTGAAGGTTTCTTGGTAGGGGGGGGGGGGCAAAATAAAAGGAAAAAAAAGCAAATGTGCCGCAAACAGAACGAGCACGCTTATGTATGCTCACACAATACACTATAACCCCATAGCACTCTGGTAACTTGTTGATACATTCACATGATACAGCTCTTACTCATACTCCGTTGAATTGACTTCTGTTTTACCAACATATGCTCCCAGGTAAGCGATTTTGTGAGGGAATCACAAAATCTCCATCAGAATCTACCACAGGTCTTCCAGGCCTCTGCTTTATCACTTCCTGCTCTACATCCCGCCCATAAGAGGGCAGTGGAGTGTTCTGATCGAAGGAATCCCATTCCCACGTCTCATCTCGTAAAATGAACCTTTTGCCCCACTCTCTGGTTGCATCATATTCCTCTTTCCGTTCTGGGAGGCTTGAAGCATCACTGTGAGCCAATAAGACTTCAGAAACCTGTTCCACACCATGGCTTCCGAAACTTTAGAGGAAATGTTACCTTTCTTTTGTTGTTGTTTTTTGGCGCAGACTTGCCCCTAGTTTTCCATTTGCCGGCGGGCACCTTTTGATTGTCGAGTTCTCAATGGAGGGACAAAGACCGTCACTGCTTAGAGGGGCTTCGTGTCGCGCACTTTGTAAATAACACAAAGTTATTCTACAAAGAAGGGGGACTTTGTGCACTTAATGTCGCTCACCTTTACTGGGCTGGGTTCCCAGTATGCATGTTGGTGCAAGGGTGAAGCACTCCCTCCGTCTCGTCAAACGCCCCTGGTCCTGTCCTCACAGATGATTTTGAAATTCTGGCCGAATTTTTGTCTTTTGTATGACAAATGGAATAAGCTAACCGCCAGGTACTCGTACCTGCAAGGAAATTAGTGTGTTTTAGCACACTTGCTAATGTAAACCTAAAGCTTGTTTTTTTATTTTTTATTTTTTGGAGAAAGTGTGGAAATAGCACTACCAGGGTTGTCGTGGACCATTTTCAGCCTATGCAGCTCTTTTGGTTCTCGCCCCCCTTTGAGAGCAACTTTGTGGCCCATTTGGTCTTCTCCCGGAAGTATTGTCCTGTCCGTTTGTCGTGTCCGACGCTCTGTAAGGATGTTTGCAGTGACACTGCAGAGTGACTAGCCCGTAATCATGCGCTCCAGCTCTATGCACTCGCTGGTTCACTCGGCTCGCTTGAATGTTTTAATTTCCCTGTATCTCTTGGCGCTCGACAAGGACGTTCGTACACGCCACGCCAGATAATCACGTGCAAGGTGGTGCTACTCCTGCAAGAGCTCTCCGGATAAGTCAAGGATGTCCAGTCTGGTTCCTGGAGGGCTACGGTCCTGCAGAGTTTGGCTCCAACCCCAATTAAACACCTGAATAAAGGATTACTACAGGTATGGAATGGAACAAATTAGAGCTAAACTTTTGCAAGATGTTGGTCTTCGGGACCAGGCTTGGACACTCCTGGGATAAGCCATGCGATAGTGTGAGCTCTTCATGCCCCTGGTGGGATTGAGAGACTTGAGTGTATCCTGTGCGGAGCAATGGCAGTGGCTTGCCTTAACACAGCTTCGGTGTGCACGGTGAGGCACAGAGGCCTGCCTTAAACTAGCCCTGAAGGTGGCGCTAGAGAGCAAGGCCGGAGAGCGTTGTTAAGACATGGCGCCCCATGTTCATCTCTTCTCGCGGTTCACGTTTACAAACATTCCAGAACAGTCTACTGTTGTGTTTTGCATTGGGTTGTCGACACTAAAAGTCGGCAAGATTTGGCCATAGACGAAGATGAGAGATTCAAAAGTGTGCATGTCCCCATTCCCTTACGAAATATTACAGGAAATCTTTTTGCTGCTGGATTTATCAGGTGCTGTCAGCACGCTGGACCTTGTCATTCGTATTGCGGAGAAGACTGCAGGGAATCAGGGCTTCCAGAAGAACGGGCTGGTCTAATATTGGCAGATTTTCTTTTTTTGTTCATTTGTACTCGCGCGTTTTTATTTGGATAATGGGTCATAGAGACTAGCGTCCTGCTCGTGCTGTCTTTTCACGTTAAGTCTGTAATAACGGTTTTGTCTTCTCTTTCGCTCTCCCGCATTTGAACATTTCCTCTACCGAAGCCACAGGGTGTCTATTTTTTGTGTATTTTCTACTCCCAGAAATCACTGTAAGGAATCTCGAGGACATATCAGCGATTGGGTGTGTCGAGGGAAACGGAGACGATTTTATGAACCTGAAGCACTTACTGTAGTATAACGAGGAGTGACTCTTGTTTTCAAAGAGCTGTTGTCCTCAAACCGAAGCTCTTCTCGCTGTGATTTTTGAACCACACGGCTGTGTTTAACCCTCAACGTTTGTCCTGGCACACCACACGTCCTCTGGCCATCTCCACAGTCTCCAGACTTGTCCTGTCTCTCATCCTCTCCCTCTTTTATTGTCGGTCATCTCTTTTATGATTTTTTTTGTTTCTATTTTTGTTGTTTTTCTTTATGTGGGACAGTCAGTCCATTTGGTTAAGCTATTGTATTTTTTTTTTAAATGGGGAAAAGAGGCTTGTGCCTTTTGTAAAAACAGAATAATAAAGTTTGTACTTTGTTTTTTACAATTTCTCAGTGTATTGTGTAAATATTTCTTCAATATGAATTGTACAGTATGCATTGACTGCATTACACTCACGTTAGCCATTAACATTATAAAAAGCTTTGTAAAGCTCTGCTAGGTTACATATCGAGTAACAAATCAATTCGACTTTAGCATTCAAAGGAATATTTTTAAATACGAGAGCAATGTGTTACTGTGGCATTTGAATTGCATTTTGGTACTTCATAATTAGGAAGACAAGCTCCGATTTCTTTAGGGTTACTACTGGAGTGTGTTGTACGTGAGCAAAAGTAGTACTCAAGTACTGAGTACTCAAAAAAACATTTTATAATTTCCTCGACACTGACATTTAAGTGATAATTAAGCTAAAAAGCTGTTTTTCATCAGGAAAGTGAGTGTCTATAGAAGTAAATGGTTTAATAATACAAAAGAGAACCTGAATTTTCAAACAATGTTTTAATATCTTCACAAATTAGCATGTGTATCGTCACCTGGCACCAAATTAGAAGTTCAGGTGGTTAACCAGTCACCAAGATTTGGATGTTCCTTGAAATTTACTACTTTTAAAAAAAAAAATTCCTGTCAAACACAGTCCTAACCTACCCATAAATTTTGATTTTTAAAACTATTTTGTTCATTAGTTGTTTTTTTTACTCTCACTGATATAATTTTTGTTGATGTTGAGGTGATTTATTTTATTTTTAAAGTTAGTTAGCTTTAGTATTTTTTTTTATTATATCGTTAGTTTTTTTACTCACTGATATAATTTTTGTTGATGTTTTTTTTTAGTTTATTTAGCTTTAGTATTTGGTTCAAAAGTAGTATAATTTCAAAATGGATTAACGGTGTTATTTTACTTGGTTTATTTATTTTTGCGGCCTAGTGTTATTGCTGTCTTGGAATATTCATGTTTCAATGGTAGGTGGGTTATAAAGAATTCAAGTTTTATGATCTCCCATGTATCTAAAGCTAAAATTAATTTGTCATTTTATTTTAGATCATTTTTGAGTCCTAAAATGTAGTTTTAGTTGTTTTTTTTACTTGATTGTTTGAATTATAATGAGGCAACAAAATTCTTTCATTGACCTATCATTTTGGTTTTCATCAATGATGATAAAATTGATTTGACTAAAAAGAATGTTGTACCTAAATCAGGGAAAGCAGAGGTAACCATAGCAACATTTACCATTTCAGTACTTTTGTTAGCAAAATACAATGCGAACGTAGACGCAAGCACTTCACCAGTGCACATACTTATGTTTGGTACAACATGCAAAGTTATTTAGAAACTTGTTTCCGCCATAGGATTAAAACAAAGTACTGCTACTTAAGTCACAATTCTGACATTTTTCCTCACAATTCTGAATTTATATCTCACAATTCTGAGTTTATATCTGATAATTCTGTGTCGGGAACATCTTGCATTGCTTAAAACTACTAACCGATTGCAAGTACACCCACTGGCCAAGCACTCACTAGGCTGCTGCTTTCGCGTACTTGGGTTGAGTAGTTAGTAGTTAAGGGTTCATAGGATGTAGGAGTCATGCAGTTCATTAGTTGTAAATTATTATTATTGTTATTAAATTGCTTAATTTTAATGGATTTGCATAATTATTCTAAATCCCAGACCATCAGAAAACCCTAAACAGCAGAAACAACCTCCTGCTGTTTGTTTCACGTTTATCTTTTACAAATGAATTGTGCATGTACATTTTTCAGTGCGTTCACAGATTAACGAAGGGAGTTCATTTGCCTGTGAAGTGCTGGAGTCGGCATCTGCTGTGTAATGATAAGGCGTTAATCTCCACTCTCTGAGGAAATGATGATGCTGACTTTTACACCTTATTCCCGACTGTCAACTCCTGTAATCCTACCCAGCACGACTGCTGGTGATTTACAGCACTGACTCAAGCCTGTGATCAGGTTAGTTAAGTTCACTCAGTAGGACAAACGTTTATAATGACCAACATGCTATTTGAAACCATCAAGTAAATTCTTCATTAATTGCTTTTTTGATCAAATTCACTAAGTGACTTCTTAAAAAAGTGGAATGCCGTGTCACAAATAGTGTTGTCATGTCATACCTCTTGTACAACATTCCTTCTCAGTTGCCAAAATCAACACCAGCTGAAGTACCAAAGCGCTCCTGTGCTCGAGATGGCCGCACACCCTTGATTTGACGTCACTGCCGTGATGGTTCTGCTAAAAGAGACAGTCAGTTGCTCGGGTGCGCCCTTTTCTGACGGCTACAGCACCAGCCCCCTCCATGTAGTCCCGTCTGTAAGACCACCCTCTTGCTGGCGCCCTCTGACCTTCTCAGCCCAGTATATATAGCCAGAGAGGCTACCAGAGGTCTCCTGGCAGCCAACATGAAGGTCTTAGTCTCGCTCTGCGTCTTTGTGCCCCTGCTGGCACTGGCCACAGCAGGTGTAATGTTCTTACTGCGTCCTAACTCTGATACCCATGATTCCTTTGTGGAATTACCACCCGGATATGATCCTGGTTCTCGGATTCAAAAATGTGTCACACAAGGCACTGCCATTTTGTGTCAAGCTATTAAAAGCTTTGAAGTAACAAGCTAAAAACAGCACACAGGAACTTCTGGAATCCTTTTCTACTACAAAATATTACTGTAAAAATTTTGATCATGCTAGTATTTATTTAGATTTATTGCTTGTGTTGATTTTAATGTATGTAGACATTGTTAGCTATTGAGGAGATCTAATATCTTCATTAATTGCTCATTTTGGAAGTTTAGAATCACCTCTGATTGACAGAAAAAGGCCAGTTAGACTCCGCCCCCTGGAGGCGTGAGCCATTGTAGAGCTATTTCTGTCATCAAGTGAGACCAGAACCTTGGCACCTGTTGCTATTTATGTCTCTCAGTGATTTGCCCTATAGATAGATTAGATTAGATATATATATTTGTTTACATTTGGAGGAAAATACATACAATTACAGTATATTCAAATAAAAATCATTAGGTATTAAACATGTTTCCCATAATTAGCTTAATGCATACCATTTTCTTTAACATTTTCTTATACTGTTTTCTTTTAATATTTGATTGTTTGTTTGATTTATGTTTATAAATTTGAAATGTTTTCCCGTATATATTAACATATTTTAACCATGGAATTTTACATTATTTTTTCTGTTAGAATTGCTAACTTTATTGACTTTAATCAGGTGTAAACAGGTTTCAATGAGTAATTCATACTATATTTATCTGATGTTTATTTAACAGATATTTTCCCATATATTTACAGATTTTTACCAAATATATATTTTTAAACATTTATTTATTTATTTTAAAGTATAAACAGGTTTCCATACGTAATCATGCCATTTGTAAAACATTTTATTTACACAGTTTATTTTTAACATTTGTTTATTTAAAATATTTTTTTGGGCATATATTGATAGATTTTTATAATTACTTTATTCATTCATTCATTCATTTGTTTACATATGTTTTCATTTTGCAGACACTTTTATATTAAGCGACATACGAATCAAGCATAAAGAGGTTTCCTTTCCATTTTTTTTAAACATTTATAATACTGTTTACTTGTAACTTGATTCACTTATGTGTTTATTTGTTTGTTTATATTTGACATTGTATAAGGTGTCTATACCTGTCTGTTTTATACTAGGCCTTTTCTATATCATCACATTAGCACTTAAAAACCCCACATAGTTCACAGTTCACCCATTTAAACTGCACACCTCACCGCTAACCTTTCGCCGTTTCTGCGCCATGCTGAGTTCAACATTACAGGGCTGTATTTTTAGCAGCTTGACTTGGCCAGTGTCGGCTGAGCACTTGTATGCTTTAACTAGCACGTTGTGTCATCACAACAGGCCTGCAGTCTCTGCGCTGAAAGCCCATCTGCTCTCAATAACAGCGTTGCGTTCAGCGGGGCGAGTCCTCAGCAGGCTGGAGAAATGTGTCAAGTGCTGAGCTGTAGAATCTGACCGCGGCGAGCCACTGTGAAGTCTACAAAAGAAATCACAAAAAGGCAGCTGTGGAAAATGTGAAGTAAAGTTGTCTTCTTAGCCACCCCTGTTGGAAAATTCAGCTACCAGCTTTGAATAGTTGCTTTTACATGCATTTTACATTCTAGCTAGTCCAAGCTGGTTTATGTTAGCTAACTTAGCCCCCCCAATAAAATGAATAGAAATGACTTTTATTCAGCAAAGATGCATTCAATTGATCAAAAGTGACGAACGTTACAGTAGATTTCTATTTAAATAAAAAAATGCATGCTGTTCTTTTGGACTTTCTGTTCATCAAATGAATCCTGAATAAAAATGTATCACAGTCTGCTCAGAAAAATTAAGCAGCACAGCATTTTCAACATTGATAATAATGAGAAATGTTTCTCGAGCATCAAATCAGCATATTAGAATGATTTCTGAAGGATCAT